GGGTTGGAGATGAGAAATATTAGAGCTTAGCTTACTTGGTATTCTGTGCGTGGTTGGTGGCTGGAGCAGTGGGCAGGAGTGGTTATCTGATGGGTCTGAGGAATTGTCAGAGGCCAGATTTTACAGGGCATGCTGAGATTGCTGTTACAATGACCTGGCCAAGGGTAGCTGCTCTCTGATCTGACTTTGTTGAGGCACTGTGCTGCTTTGCTGTATATGTGTAGTTTTCAGGTTGTTTTCCTCATCCTTTTCAGGGACACTCCCCTTTCTGAATCCCTTAATTTATAAGAAAACTCAGGAGCTTCTGTACCTTTTAGCGAGCAAATGGTGAAAGCAAAACTAACAAATTCCAGTGAATCAAGGATTTTTGTGGTATAGGCTCACCAGTAGTTAGCTGTGGAGAATGAAATCTGAGCTTGGATGTGAGATTGTTAAATATATGCCTTTTGGTATAAGGCTTTGGCATTTATAGAATATTGATTTTATAGCTGTCATTTGATGGTCTCATGACTCTACAGGTAGATGACAGGATGGTGCAGGCCTGAGCAATCTACCACTAGTACCAGAATGAAGACTAGATGCTAGAGAATAGATTGCACCCTCTTTCACCCCCCTGGGGATTGAACCCAGGGTTGTTCCAGCATTGGTCTACATAGTCCTCCCGCTCCCATTCTTTTGAGACAGGGTCTTGCCAGGTTGCCCAGGCTGGCCTTGAACTTGCCATCCATCTGCTTCAGTCTCCTGAATTGCTGGATTTTCAGGTGTGTGTCACTGGGTCTGGCCAGAAGCTGCATTTTTTTTTTTTTTGTGGAATGGGGGTTTGAACCCAGGGGCACTTAACCATTGAGCTACATCCCTAGTCTTTTTTACTTTTTATTTTGAGGTAAGGTCTCACAATGTTGATGAGGGCCTAGAGAAGTTTCTGAGGCTGCCTTTGAACTTGTGATTCTCTTGCAGAGGCTGTACTTTTTTTAACTGTTATTGTCCAGCTTTCTTTCTTTTTATTTTTTTCCCCTCTTGCCTAGTGATGGCCTTCTAATTGTACACAGGTATAGAGTTAGGGACTCATGTGTCTTAATTAGCTGGTCTAGTCAGCTTGATCTGAAAAGGGCTAAGTAGTCAATAATTACAATGAGAATTTAAAAGTTGTGAGTCTCATAGCAGGGATGTTTTGACTTTGGGGACGTTTTATAATAGGGATAAGATTTACTTTGAGTCTTTAAGGTTTTTATTCCTTATGGTAAAATAATATGTGGGTTTTGAGTTAGTCTTGGATTGTCTGCCCTCCCCACAACCTTCAGATTTTCTAGTTTTGTCATTGGTCAAATTTTAAAACATCTCAGTTTTTTCATTTTTTAATACTAACTCTCAATAGTATTGTTCTGGGGAATAGGCAAAATAACACATATAAAGTCTATATAAAATACATGCAAAGAATTATGCCTTATAACTATGAGGCAATCAGGCAATTGATATTTTTCCCCACCTTTCTTCCCTTCTTTAGGTAGAGACAGCCCCTACCCATTATTTTTCATTGCTTCTTCATAACTGCAAGGTTCCTGCACTCAATTGTGCTTATAATAGATCACACAGGGTTATTTGGGTCCATCCCAGTTTCCAGTGTTCTAATCTATTAATTTTGAATACATATTTGTCAAGTGGTATAATCTTATTTCTAGTTTGGAAGTTGCTTTGCTGGTAAATATGAAGCTTCCCTTCTTTATTTTTTTAGGCTTCATGCCATAGGACTTACCTCCTAATTGCTAAAGTCAAGGACCTTTCTGAGAAGTTAATGTTACTCTTGGTTCTGGGTTTTGTTTTGCCTGCCTTTCTTTGCTGAGCCCTGCCCCTGTTGTGAACAGATCCCTTTTCAAGCAAAAGAGAACTATCTTATCTCTTTAGCCATTGAATTCCTCCATTTTAGTTCTTGTCACTTTAAAGTATTTTCAGTTCTACCAGGGTGCCTAAATGCTTTTTCTTTTTCTTTTTTTAATTTGGGGTATAATTTCTCATTTTTCCAAGTGTACAGGTTACAGAATCACATTAGTTATATTCTTGAGTATATACATGTATTGTCTTTGAGCTTGAGGTTGATACTCTATCATTTCTGAATGTTCTGTTTGTTTGTGAACCTTGTGTTTCAGCTGTTACCTACATTCTTCAATTCCCTCTTCCTTGAGGGATAGGGATGTTTGGAGTGAGAAAGGGGAAGGGAATGTATAGATGCTAGTATTGGGCAGTCACATTAGAATCAGTACCCCTTTTGCAAGCAGGACCCCTCTGGATTGGGATTAATGTGTATATATTTTTATAAAGCTCCTCAGAGGAGTCTAGTTTACACCTGTGGAGAACCACTCATTAGTATAATGGCAACCAGATTGCATTCTTTCTCTTTGTAGTACACACTTTGGTTTTCTTACAGATAAGAAAGTGGATTCAGATTGGTCAGATTTTGGACTTTCTGTGTCAGGGAGGTGTGAAAATGACAAATACTTCTGAGTTTCAGTTTTACATCATTTAAAGGGAGCAGTATCTTTTTTTTGTGGATTGGTCTCTGTGTCCTCTATTCTGTACCATTGGTCCACCCGCCTGTTTTGGTACCAGTACCATGCTGTTTTTGTTACTATTGCTCTGTAGTATAGTTTGAAG